CTAAATCAAAACAGAGATAAATTGATGTGCAAACCTTGAAGACTGATTGAAGAACACAAAATCTGCTGCTTATTGAAGCTGAAACTTATTGGTGGGCTAGCAATTGCTGGGAGATGTTTGGGCGTGATGAAGATGAAGCGGCAAAGAGATTTAGTGAATTACTTCTGGTGAAAATGTATTGGAGGCAAATAGAAGGTTAATTTACGTGGGTTACATAGGGCGATAGGGGTTATTGGAGGTTTACGTGGGTTACGTAGGGTTATTGGATTTTTTATTTTTGTTAAAAAAATTTTGATAAATTGTCTTTTCTGTTATTCTTTAACTTCAAGTATATATTAAATTTTGATAAATTGTCTTTTCTGTTATTCTTTAACTTCAAGTATATATTTTATAGGGAGAAATTAAATATAATAATCACAGTTATAATGTATCAAACCGAAATAAATAGGCATTTTTCGTATTTCATGAACAACCAAAAAATCCTACGACACGTCTTAGGGTCTTAAATGCTAAAAGAAAAGATAACCTACGACTGGGCTACAGAGCAAAATAAATAAATATTGAAAATAATGAGCTAAGAAACTATAAAGTTCCGTTTTGACTTAGCAAACTAATTCAAACGCCCAAAATTTGGTATACATCACAGCAAAGCAGTGATTTGAATGGAAATTTTCGCGAGCTTTCCGGAATGGGGTTATGGGTCCAAAACGGACACCGTATGCAAAAGTTACGTCGTTTTCTTCGAACACTGACCATCCAAACGTTCCAAATGCTCAAGTGTCTGTTCCTCAATGCTAACCTCATCACTAAAGAAGAAGAGAGATTGGCCGACAGTGTGTGTCAAATACTGCTACAACTAATTGTGGTATGTTCAGATGAGCGGCAACATAAGTTAGTCCGTTCAGATCTAATTGCGGTATATTCAATGCTTTGCCACGATGTTCCACCGATTTGGACTAAATTCCATTATTTGACTCCAAAAAACCCTTTTTGACTCAGTATATTTCTCAATTATTTAATTATTTTTTTAGTTTTAAACTTTAATATTTTATTTAATTAAATAAACACGATTACAAAATAAAAAAAATAAAGTCTCACTCGCTC